AAAAAAAAAAAAAAAAAAAAAAAAAAAAAAAAAAAAAAAAAAAAAAAAAAAAAAAAAAAAAACTAAAAATAGGCGGAATAAGAATTTTGGTTATTATTATTATTTAAAAGATCGTACTCTTTGATGAATTCTTTTTTTATTTCCTATTTTATTTTATTATTTACTATATATATATATATATATTACTTATGATATAATAACAGGATTTTTTATTTTAAATAGGAACACAATTTTTTTATACAGCAAATTTAATCCTATAATTTCAAAAAAAAAATTAAAATTTAATTAGAATTAGTCTATATAATTTAAACTTGAATGACACCATGAGAGTTATAGGGATTTAGACGAAGAAGGACGTAGTATATGGCGAAATGCTTTCGAGAGTTGAAAATAAGCGTAGATCTGGAGATTCCCGAATAGGTTAACTTTTCAAATTGGTGTTGAATCTATAGGCAGGCAAGAGACAACTTGTCAAACTGGAATATCTTAATAGCCTAAATAATAGAAAGCAGAAGCGATTCACGTAGCAAGGACAAGCGAAATGATGCTTGGACAAGTAAAACTAGTAGGGTTCAAATGTAAATTTATTCAAATGATAGGGACCATTTTGCAATTTAACCGGTTTAACCCAAATTAGGTGATAATTTGAAGTAATATTAGTTTAAATTATTTTAGTAGACGAAATTAATATTTTTAAACCCTAAACCCAAACAGTTCAAAAATCACAATTCCCTCGCTATTCCACAAATATCCCCAAGGAATGCATCAATGTTGGAATCAGAAGAACCACCGCGCGCCACCGCTCGCCGGCAAGCGTCTCGGAGTTCGCTCACTCTTTTCCTCATCTCTCTTCCTTCAACGTTCTCTGGATTCATAAATCTCTTCACAGTCTCTGCAATTTCCTCTCTCCCCACCAAATTCCGACCCCCAACTGCTTGAAATCGGACCCCAACTTTCCAATCCTCAACGATTTTCTTACTGTTCGGAATCTGATCCCAAAATATCGGCCAAGCAAGCATCGGAACGCCGGCGAAAACCCCTTCCAGAGTCGAATTCCAACCACCGTGAGTCCAGAACCCTCCGACGGCGCTGTGGCATAGAACCTTTAATTGATCGCACCATTCAACCACCATCCCAGTTTCCCCATCCACATCTTTCAATCGGCCGTCGTCTCCACGCGCCACCCACAAGAACCGTACGCCGCTGTCTTTCACGCCGGCGATGATCTCCTCCATTTGAGCGCTCGAAACTGAAAGAAAACTCCCTTGCGAAATGTACAAAACAGATCCCTCTGTTTGAGAGTCCAGCCACCGGAGGTAGTTTTTCGGGTCGCCGCCGTTGTCTTTGACCGAAGTTTCAAGCTCGAAATACGGTGCACTGGGCCCGATTGTGTAGATTGGAATGGGAAATTTTGCTTTTAAAGCGTCGATTACAGAGGATTCAAGCTCGTAAACAGAGGTGGAAATCAGAAACTGGGAGTTGTCAACGGAACGAGCAGATTTCACGGCGGCTCCGACGACTTTGACGCCATTACCGGAGAAGAAAGACGGCAAATCTGCAAGACGAATCTTCGACACTCCGGGGAAGTAATCGACAATCTGTTCTCCCCTTTCTTCAAAACATAGAAGAAATTTTAAAAACCCTAATCCAAAAATCCGATTCCCAAAACCCCAATTGATTTCACAGTACCTGAGAGTTCAGCAGGGAAATCCCCATTTTCCTGAAGGAGCTCAAAATGGTAAAGAATGGAGAAAACCGTTACCGACATGGGCCAGAGCGAAGCCACCGGAATACAGAGGTTATTCCCCAACTGTACCATCCAGGTGAGGAAGGCATCCGCAACGATGGCCGTCGGCGGCGGGTGGAGGCGGGTGAGCAGAGTGTTAGTCGGAGCCTCCATATCAGAGTTAACGGATCGGATGAAACCGGGGAAGTCGTTAGCGCGGCCGATCTCGGAAGGGATGACATTGGGGATGGTAGCGAATCTAATGTTTTGGGGTTTGGGTTCGCCGGCGAGAAAGGTGAGCCACTCGTCGGTGACGATGAAGGAGATAAGAATGTTTGGGTTTTTAAGAGAGAGGAGCTTGCAGAGGTTCATAAGGGCGTTGACATGGCCTCTGCCGGGGTACGGCACCGCCGCGAGATGGGTCTGTTTGGTTGTTGCGGAACCGATCGGATCCATTTCTTTTCGGTGGTCGGAATGATTAATGGCGGAGAAGTGTCGGAGGGAATCAAAATGAGCAGCCACTCCGAGAATGTCTTGAAAGTCCCATCATGGTGGGGGCAACTTTATAGCATTTAGAGAGTGGTTTACTTCTTGTGGGTGGGGGTGGAATAGACTAAATATTTAATAATTTTTTTTAAAAATACTTTTAAATATTTAAATTTGAGGATAATTAAATTTTAAAATGTTTCATTAATACTTTTTAATTTTTATTTTTAAAAAAAGTTTAAAAATATTAAATTAGGAAATTGTGCATTTAGGTATTCCTCTATTTTTGGTCCCATGTGAAATTTTTATTTATTTATTTAGTTACGGTGAGGAAGAATTATTATATTTTATTTAATCCAATAAATAAATAGATGAATTTATTTTTGTCTCAGCCGCCGTTGAAATATTAGATTCCACCTGTCATTTTCTTTTTCTCTGTCCACAATATTTTTAAAAAGTCGTCAATATATTTTTCGAAAAATGCAATTTTATAAATCTGGAACAAATATTTGCACTTTTGACCACAAAAGATTTCATTATTATTTTTCAAATTTCTAATAAAAATTTGAAATTCTGCCGTCTGATAAAAGAATATATAAATATAATATTTTTATTTTTTTTAGTCTACCCTTTTCTTATGAAAATATTCAAATTCAACGTGTTACCTCGTTTTTAATGACATAATTGGTTAATAATCAACCTTCCGAAATTGTAATGGTAATTTCATGGTAACAATGAGAAGCACGACACCCATGAACAAAGCTATTGAAATAGCACGAGCCACGATGTTAAGAATAAAAAATAGAATTAGGATAAAAGGTGTGTTCTAATTAACAGATGAATTCAAATTAACAGTAAATATTGGTGGATGATAAAAGTCCCAACTAATTTAAGGAAGGATCATGAATTTATATCTTATATATCTATATATTAAAAAATATTAAGGAAAAATAATTAAATTAATTTCACATGTAAATATATTTTAATGTTTATTTTTTCTATTTAAAAAAAAAAAAGTTGTCGTTTGAGGTTAATTTTTTTTTTATTAAAATGGATTAAATAGAATCAAAAAGACCAAAAAGAAAATATTTTTAATGAAAAATGTTTAGTTACACTTTTTTTTAAAGTAATTTTAATTGCAATTGCTTACACTGATCTAAAAGTCAAATGGTAATTAATATAGGTCAAATCACGTCTTGTCGTGTGGCTAGAATAT